AGTGAGGGAAGTTCTGCAATTGGATTCAGTTCACCCCCCCCCCTGCCTCAAATTGATGTACACCTGGAACCTTAAATAGGCCTTCTTTGGAAATAGTCTTTACAGGTGTTATTAGTTACATTAAGATGAAGCCATCCTGGATTGGATGAGTTTTAAACATAATGGCTGGTGTTTTTACAAGAAGAGGAAAGGACGTGGATAAACCTAGAGAATAAGGCCATGTGAAGCCGGAGGCAGAGATTAGGGTTGTGCCACCACAAGCCAAGAAACGCCTGGGGCCTCTGGAGGCTGGAAGAGGTAGGGAAGAATCCTAAGAGCCCTCAGAGGGATGAGGGCTTGCTCGCAACATGACTCTGGACTTGTAGACTATAGACCTGGAGGAGAATACATTTTTGTTGTTCCAAGCTGCACTGTTTGTGCTGGTCAGTTGACCTTCACTCTAGGAAGCGAATGCAGAAGATGGTCCAGGGCAACAAGGCAGCCCCCTTTGTGCCAGACTGTCTCAGGCTGTTATGCAGGAGCGGTCAGTAGAGCGTCCTAACCGCACAGCAGTGGGGGGAACAGCTGATGTGACGTTCAGTCCTGGCTCGGATGGCAGCCAATGGTCTGTAGACGTTGGCTTGGCTCCCCGCCCCCCCCCCCCCCCCCCCCCCGGCCCCTCTCCAGTGCCGTTGGTGGGTGACAACGAAACATTTCTCACTATCGATGTCACTTCTTTCCCCGGATGATCCCGAGGAGTCTGGTCCCTCTTCTCAGCAAGCTCCACCCTTTCCCCAGGGGTCAGCTTCCACCCCGTGGCCACTGTGCTTTTCCCGCCCAGGCGGGGTGCGGGGGGGGGGGGTGTCACACATAGTCCCCCGGGACCTGAACCTGGATCTTTCTCTTTCCCGTCCACTGTCAAAGCGTGGTCCCTGGAGCAGCAGTGTCACCTAGGAAGGTTCTCGTGGTGCAGAGACTCCCCCCCAGGCCTGCGGGGTCAGAAACTCTGGGTGGGTGCCGGCAGCACCCTGTGTCTACACTGGCCCGCCGGGGGGTTCTGATGTGCCCCAAAGCTTGGTGATTCTCCACCTTCCCGGCCTGAGACCCAGACTCCTGATTTCTGGGAGCCTTTCTTCTCTGGGAAGAATCTAGACATGAATCAAAATGATTTGTCTTTCAAAACTGTTTTTTCTGTGGGCTTCTGGAGCCTATGCCGGACATCACAAAAGTGAGTTCTAACTGTTTCTGTCTATTAGCATTTCTGCTGAAATAATTCCCATGTTCATCAAAGATACGTAAAAACCTTTGGTCGACCTGGGGGAAGGTGCTGTTCAAGGAAGTGTGGAAAACAAAAGCACAAAGATTAATATTTCACTGCATTCCTTTACTCCCCTGTATCTCTGTCTAGACCATAAGCCCTCTGAGGGCAGGGACTGTTTCAATCTGCTTCATCGCTGGATTAGCAGCACTTAGCCACTTGTTGAAAAGATGCAAAAACTAATAAATTATAAAGGTTGCGAGTTCCCATCCCTGGAGGCGCTTAAGCACAGGGAAGATGCGGGGATGTTACAGAGGAGGTTTTTGTATCAGGGAGGTGGTCAGACTAGACGAACTTTAAAGTTCTCTCTGACCCCTCAGTGCTATAATCCCCTGTGATGGGACTCTGCAGAGAGAGAAGGAGGGGCCGGCCACAGCGTCTGGCACGTTCTTACTGGTAAATGTTTATGGCCTTTGGACTTCCTCACCGAGGGTGGGGTAGGTGGGGTTACGGTGACTCTTACAAGCTCCTGGACACCACTTAGTCCCAGGACAAATTGTGAGGTACTAGAAATACCTATTGGGAAGCATTTTACCATTCAGAGGTATCTTTTTTTAGCTATCACATTTATAAATTTGGAGAGTTACTCTGACTGCAACGTTGAAATGTTGATTTCTAGACACAAGACGAAAAAGCAAAGACGAGACCCTAAGTGGGAAAAGGGGAACTTCACACACAAGTGCAGAGGTCCCTGGCTGGCTTTATGAACACCTGGCGTCAAGGACCCTTCTAGAATGTGGCTGCTGGAAGGGACTTCAGAGAGCTTTTGGTTTACAGTCAAGGAGACAGGCCTATGGAGATGGAAAACTTCTTGACCCCACACAGCTGTTCAATATATTTACTGGGGGAAATGAGAAAGGCTCAGGCCACTTCTTTAAGTGTTAAAGCTATAGCTTGGCAAAAGGCAAGAGTTGAGAATCATATTCATCATCGTAAGCCTCTGTAACAAAACGTTGTCCTCCCCGGGGGCGCTCGGCACCCCCTCACGCACGGTGGCGGCCGGAGCTTACGGGAAGCAGGCAGGAACTGCACGCTGTCAGCCTGCTGCTTGTAGCCTGGGAGCGGCTTGTCAGGCTCCTGTCCTAAAAGAATAATAATAGGAGACGCTCTTACTGGATGATGTTGTTTGCTCCCCACGTGCCAGGCGCTGGTCTGACACTTTGTATCCTCACAGTGCTCCGCGCATAGAGCTACTCACCATCATCCTCCTTTCACAGATGAGAACACTGAGGCACAGAAAGGTTTAGAATCTCCTCCCAGGTCCCACAGCCAAAGATAGAGCAGAATTCCAACCCGACGTCACAGTGACGCCCCTGTAAATTACTTCTTGACATACGTAGTCTCATTTGGTTTCAGGATTCAGGAGGCTTCATCTTTCTTGCGACCCAGGGCTTGGCTTCTCTGGGTGTCCCCGCCTCCTGGGGGCTGATCTGCCAGGGTGTGGGGCAGAGCCCCGGTGTACTTGTCCGCAGAGGTGAGCAGGGGGGAGGCAGAAGGGCAGAAGGGCAGGTGAGGTTCCCTGGATGCCACCCAGTGCCGTCTGTTTTGCAGTGATGTTCTGAGGTGTGAACGCCTCCCCCTGCTGCCAGTTACTGGGTAGAGTGGGTTCCTCTCTGGCTTTACTCGACTGGAACCCCTGGCAGAGGCGTGGCCCCCTCATTCTTTAGGGGCCCTGGCGTCATCTGGGCTGCCTTGGAGTCTCTGGGGGAGGCCTGAAGAGATCTTTGTTTCCTTGCTCCAGCCTTCTCAAGCTGCAAGGGGTGAGGCCGTCTTGGGCTTCCGGTTAATTCTGTGGAGTGTGACTTGTTGGCCGGGGAGCAGCGGCATCCACGGCTCCTCCCAGCCACAGGCCACATGTCCAGAAAACCGTATGCGCTGGGCTACGTGAGCATTACGTTGACGACAGCGATGAGTGGGGAGAGAGCAGACAGCCCTCCAGCATGCCTCCGGCGTGAGTCATGGGCGCACAGAGGCTTTCCTCTTCCTGCTTTCCTTTTGTCCAGATCCCTCTGAAAGGCCAGGCTCGTCATGTGATTTCAGTGGGCGGGGTTTAACTTGAACAGGGAAACATGAAACACTTGATTCCATTGGGCTTTGGGCACAGGTTTCATTGATGACAGCCGTCAGGTGCACTAGGAGGAAAATGATAGGGGGAAATTGGGCCCAGGCCAGGCAACCACATCTTGTCTGTGGGTCACATGTCTCACGGGGTAGCTGCTTGTGCACAAGTCCAGGGGACACCACCGGCATTGACTTCAAGGTGGAGGGTGCACCTTTGAGTGCTACAGTGTGGTAACACCGATCACACCTTTAGTCAGTGAGTTTGAAGGCCCCATCCATCTAGTGTCACAAAACACAAAGCTCAGATAGATTTGAGACCCTTCCTTCTCTGTCATCGCTCGTACCTCCAGATTCTGCACCCAGTTCCATTGTGGGTTCCCCTTGCCTCTCTCAGTAACAAGCAGTTCTCAGGCACCGGCTGGGTACCCAGCTGGGTATTTAGCTCAGTCATTATACTACCTACCTGGAGAGGGAGTACGATCCCACAGGCTAAGTGCTCAGTCCTGCAAGACCGTCTCCCCTACATTTCAGATGCCAGTCACAAGCCCAGGTTGTGACCTGCGCTTCTGACCAGCTGACTGTAGACCGGGGGTTCCAGTGACCTACTCCTTGGGTTCAGTTAGTTTGCTAGAGAGGCTCACAGAGCTCAGAGAAACATTTTACTTACTAGATTCTAGGTTTATCTTAAAAAGTTGTAACTCGGGAACAGTCAAATGGAGGAGGCCAAGAGGACATGGTATGGGGAAGGGGTGAGGAGCTTCTTGAGCCCTCTCCGAGCAAGCCAGGCTCCCCAGGTCCCAGATTCAGCAGCAGCCCAGAAGCTCTCTGAACACCATCCTTTTGGGTTTTCATGGAGAGTTCATTACACGGGCATGAATGATGAAGTCATTGGCCTTTGCCAGTCGATTCAGCCTTCAGCCCCTCTTTCCTCTGCAGAGGCTCAGGAGGGGACTAAAAGGTCCAGCCTTCTAATCACAGGCTTGATTCTCCTGGCATCCGGCCCCTTCCTTAGGTGTGGTCCAAAAGTCACTTCATTAACACAGCAAAAGACACCTTTAGGCCTCTCATCATTTAGGAAAAAATTTTAAGGGCTTTAGGGGCTCTGTGCTGGGAACAGGGAGGAAGACCAAATATCCATTTTGTTAAAAGGTAGACTGAAGCATATTAAACATCTTGAGTTTATTTGAACACGGATTGACTTGGATCAGGCAGTGCTGAACCAAGAGCGATTAGGAGTATTTCACCAACAGGAGTTTGGGGAACATGAGGAAGAAAATTAAGGTAACAGAAAAATGTGAGAAAGTTAATTGATTGGCTATAGCTTAGAGTTTAGTTAGCTGTTCATGATTGGTTGCTTTTAGCATTTTGATTTTGTAACTTTGAGGCATTTAGAGGCTTAGGTTTTGGTTTGCTTTTTATGTAGGCTGCCATGGCCTGAGAGCATTATTGGTCTACTGTCCTTGTTTAATTAAACACTTTCCCTCTTTTGGCCATCCTCTCATCCATGAGAGATTGACCAAAAAGTTGATATGGGCACCACCCTCCAGTCACCGTGAGAGTTAAGTGGCTCTTGTGTCCTTGTGACACTCCTAAGTTGTGAGGGCAGATCTGTGGAAGAATTGTTTTTCATCTTGTTCATCTGGTTGCTTCCTTTTTTCTATTTCTCCACGCTCAGAGAGACCATGTGATATACTGCGGATGGCTGTGAACATGCATTTAGGACCTTGGAGAGAACCTGGTGCTCCAGGGAGACTCCAGTGATGACTGTTGGGAGGCTGGTACCAAGAGACTGAAGTTTCCTCCTTAGCTAGGGCCTCCATGAACCACCCAGCTGATATCAAATAAATCACAGAATGTACATGGGGTGGGGGTCATCAACCTGTTTTAACCAAGTGACTTGTTAATTTCTTGTATGTGTTGCAGTACCGGAGGTAATGGTCCAGGTACAATGATCCAGCTTCCTCTTTGTTCATCCAGTAAGTGACATAAAGCAATTCTGTTACCCCAAACCACCTCGGGGCACCTGGGTGACCAACTTGGTTGCTCAGTTGGTTAAGCTTCCCACTGTTGATTTCGGCTCAGGTCATGATCTCCTGGTTCTTGGGATCGAGCCCCGCATCAGGCTCCCCACAGATAGAGCGGAGCCTGCTTGGGACTCTTTCTCCCTCTCCTCCTCTGCCCCTCCCCCACTTGTGTGCGTGCTCTCTCTCTCTCTCCCTCTCTCTGTCAAAATAAATAAACAAACATTAAAAAAAACCCACCTTAGCAAGAGTGTTTGGGGACTTTGGTTGTACAGCTGTGGACTCAGCAGTAGATTCAGTGACAGCTGCCAGAGTGAAGGAGTGTTGCCTTCCTGTGCGTTAACACAGAGAAGAAGCAAGGAGCAAAAAGGCGAAAGGAGTAAAAGTTTCATATTGGGGTTGAAAATCTTGATTCATGACCTTGGGAGAGCTGTCTGTCTCAAGATGTTCTCTAATTCTGGGAAGGAACCTCCCTAGTTAATTTTAATTTAAGATCTCCAGCTGGTATGCAGATCCAAGTGTCTAAATGAGTCCCTTTCATTTGGGGGATGGGACCCAAGGTTCAAATCCCTAAAGTACGGCTGCTGTTGGGTTGTGGAGAGAGCCTGAGGTCTGGTCCCTTATAAGGCTCTTCAAGGGCAGTCTCTGTGATCCAAATCAGAAGGGTGGGAGAAAACAGGGGATATTTTAAATATATATATAGGGGCACCTGGGTGGCTCAGTCGGTTAAGTGTCCGACTTCGGCCCAGGTTATGACCTCACGTCCGTGAGTTCGAGCCCCACGTCGGGCTCTGTGCTGACAGCTCAGAGCCTGGAGCCTGTTTCGGATTCTGTGTCTCCCTCTCTCTCTCTCTCTGACCCTCCCACATTCATGCCGTCTCTCTCTGTCTCAAAAATAAATCAACGTTAAAAAACAAAATATATATATACATATACACATATATACGTATACATATATATATACATATACATACATATATATAAAATAAAACCTCAAAGACAATGAACAGGAGTCGAATCTGATATCTATAGGTTGTGTTACAATCCTCTACTAAAACACAGTGTTTGTTCTACATCACCCTCATTTCTTTAAAAAATATTTTTTTTAACCTTTATTTTTGAGAGAGAGAGAGACAGAGTGTGAGTGGGGGAGGGACAGTGAGAGAGGGAGACACAGAATCTGAAACAGGCTCCAGGTTCTGAGCTGTCAGCACAGAGCCTGACGCGGGACTCGAACTCACAAACAGTGAGATCGTGAGCTGAGCCAAAGTCGGGCACTTAACTGACTGAGCCACCCAGGCACCCCTATTTCTAATAAAGATAATTACAGTAAGACTAATTTGTTTGCATAATAAATCTAATCTTATTAAAGTTGGCCTGATTATTTACATAAGTGCAGCAAGAATAGCGATTGACCATATTAGACCTTTTAAAAATCTGCTTTTCTGGAACTTTTCAGAGGGAGTCTTAGATAGGACTTTTATAGCCTCTCCAGGCTAAGAAGCCATGCCAAGAACTCACCATCAGACTTCACTTGCAATACCTATCTGTTTGGGTGAATTCTTCTCTTCATGAGGTCCTCAGGATATCTTGAAGTTCCTGGGCCTGCCAGGAAGTGACCTGCCTTACTCACCTGCTAAGGTTGCTGAGAACTCTGTAAGCAAGGTGCCAGGCTCTTTGTTCCCAGGGACTTTTTTGGCTCCATAAGTCAACTTTAGTTCCTTCAAACTATCTTCTCACATCTGATTTTATGCATATTCTCAAATACGACATTTCATCAAAGTCTTGGTCATATAACCAATGTTTCCAATTGTGTCCTGTTGCAAGGAGAACAGATTCCTATTGAACTTAAGCAAATAACTGTATCTCCATGAAAATAAGAATGGAGTTTCCAAATTCTGGAGGAATCAGATAAGGAGAAAAGATAAATGTTTCATCTTTGTTTACAAAGGTACATTTTACCAAACTAATGATAGTTTAAGAGAAAAGACAGATTTTCCTAACTCTAGAAAAACAACACCACAGTGTTTCAAACAAAAGTCATAAAAATTATAAAATCATCTCTATCAGTTCATTCAGTCCAATGTAACTAATTCTTGTTGATCTTGATCTTTTGTTAGTTTTATGAAACTGTCAGTCTTTCCCTTAGAGCTCTGCCAATTCTTACTCAGTGGTGTGGTCTGGAAGTTATCAGAAACTTGTACTTGTTAGAGTCCTTCCCATGAGTCGTCTGGAAGATGAAGAAGCACTTTTGTAGGAACATTTATTTGCAAAAGCATCAGAGTAGAAAAGTAAGTTTCTGTAAGGGAAAAAAGATTTAAAAATGGCCATGGTTAAAGAGTTGTTCAAAGTTCATTATAATGCTGTCAACAAGAAAATTTGGTTATTTCTGTGGCATACAGGGTTTGAGATAATAACTAGAATTGTAAGTGATAGTATTATACCAGGACATATATCAGATTTCTAGGAATTTTATATAATTGCTGGAACACACACACATATATATATATATATATATATATATATATATATATATATATATATATATATATATTTATTTATTTATTTATTTTAATGTTTATTTTTATTTTTGAGACAGAGAGAGACAGAGCATGAATGGGGGAGGGTCAGAGAGAGAGGGAGACACAGAATCGGAAGCAGGCTCCAGGCTCT